GGACATGTATAGCGAATGCTATGAGGGTTACGGGCGGTGCGTAGCGGACCTCATTGCCCAAATTGACCGCCCAGCAGTCCGTCCTCCCGTGCCGCAAGCCTCCCAGGACGGCTGTCCCCCTGTGATATTGAAGTTTTCACAGGGGATTACGTCCGATGGCCTACATTCCGGGACTTATTCACCGAGGCTATCTCCAGTGGAGAAGCTGTACCACCTCTGCACTAAGACCCGTGGCGATCCGAAAGCCATAGTTGAAAAGTCCCCACTCACCAATGACGGTTTCGAGGCAGCATGGTCAGCCCTCCTTAGCCGATATGAAAATAATCGACTCATGGTGACGACCCAAATATATATCCTTTTATTGCTGCCTCGCGTGGGTTCCGAGACCAGTCTTGCCTTGAAAGGCCTTCAGAGCACCATTCAAGGGGTTCTAACCGCCCTGGCTCACTCCAAGGTCTGCACAGACAATTGGGATAGTCTTCTTGTTACTATCTGTGCCTCCAAGCTGCCAAAACTGACCCGGGCTCTGTGGGAAGCGTCAGTAACTGACAAACAGGTAATGCCTTCATGGACGGAAATGGACTCCTTCCTCACACAGCGATACTTGACGCTAGAGGCCATGGAGAGCGACCGTTACCCGGCTAGGAGCGATCCGCACCCGAAACCGTCCCAAGGCCATCAAAATCCGAATCCCTCCGGAAGCCACGCCAAGGCAGTCCTCTTCCGAGGAATCTTCAATCTTTCCAGACCCACGTGAATCCGAAGAAGTGTGATCTCTGTTCCAAGGAAAATCACCCAATCCGACTCTGCCCGCAAATGGAAGTTGAAGCACGTTGTAACTGCATTAAGACGAAACAGTTGTGCTTAAACTGTTTTGCCCGAGGGCACCAGCTACGAGAGTGTACAAGCGCCCACAATTGCGTCACGTGTGGAGCCCGTCACCACACGCTGCTGCAGCGCGGTACTCCAGAATCCCGTGAGTCGTCCACATCCGTACCCAATTCGACAGCTTGGCCAGACCAATGCTTACCAGTACATACTTCACAGAATCCAGGTTTATCCGAACCTCAGTCTCATGTCCAGACATATTTTACGTCCATTCTCCGCTCCGCTCCGCAAATTACTAATGCTTCTTTGACTTCGTCATTTCGTCCTAGCCTTCCGCATGCATACATGGCGTCTCGGTCGCTCGCACCAATGCCGAGTCTGTTCTGAAATCCATCCGCTACGGAAGTGTCGCCGTTTTCTCCGCCTAAGGGCCGAGGAATGGCTCCGAGCTGTCCGGAACTTCAGCTAGTGCACCAATTGCCTGGCTCACCAGCACTCCGGAGAGGAATTCTGAAGCGGCGACCGGTGTAAGGTGTGTAACCGGAGCCAGCACACGTTGCTGCGCATGGACGGTGCGCAACTGCCGCCCTCTTCTCGACGTCCAGCCCCCGAACACTTCTAGTGCCATTTGCAGCTTCTTCGTCACAGGCCGAACACCGCCTTCGAGACCCAGGATCTCTTTTTGCAGTACTGCAAGGGGGGGAGGGGGTAGGATGTTGAAAGTAGCAGTGAGTTAGCAGCGGGATGTTGTTAACAGCCGGAGCTCGCTCTCGCTCTCACTCCCTACGCTCTTGCGCTCTCCTTCTTGCCTGGCGCTCGCGAGCTGGCGGGCAGCCAGCCGCTAAGCTAAGCTCAGTATTCTACCCACCCCCGTACATTCCGGTACACGCGAGTTGATACTTTCGTCTTCTACATACACACATACATACATCCATCCATCAAAACCCATACAATTCTACACCCGCGCCGTTCGAATGCACAATAAACCGCCGATATATATATATTATCCCTATACTGTGTTGCCTATTTCATTTCGGGACCGAGGATTTATCTGTAGCGAAAGGAAGCCGCCCTCCTACAAACAACGCTCTTTTAGCTAGCCCCCATCCCCTAGAGCTGCACGCTACACTAAGCAGAGTGTGGATGAGAGAATGTGAAACAAATAAAAAAAACTGCTGGATGGGGTGTGGGTAGCCACTGCAAATTAATTTCTTCATCTGGCTTTAACATTGATTCAATCTGATCCCACTTCGGTGATCTGATAGATATGGTTCTTTCCTACGGAATGGCATTTATATCTTTTATCATTTTATACCCGGTACTCGAAGAATAAATAGGGTATATTGTATTTGTGCACAAAGTGAATGTATGTAACACACAGAAGGAAACGTTTCCGACCCCATAAAGTATATATATTCTTGATCAGCAACAATAGCCGAGTCGATTGAGCCATGTCTGTCTGCCCGTCTGTCCGTCCGTCTTGTTGAGCGCCTGGATCTCAGCGACCCCAAAAGCTAGAGCAACCAAATTTTGCATTCAGACTTCTGTATGCTCAGACTGTTACAAGTGTATTTCAAAAATGAGCCACGTTCCCTTCCGCCCCCGCAAAGGGGCGAAAACCTCCCAAATCTACAATTTTGAAGATAAAAGAAAACTAACGAGAAGGGACGTGTGAGACGCGTCTTACGCGTCACAACTTTTATACCAGGCACTCAGTACTACATCTGTACCTTAGCGGGTTTTTTTTCAAATTTTTTACATTTACATGTTTTCTTCATCTGTCATATACATCTTCAACACTTCTCACGCCAACACGCTCCTTTAGATCGCCCCCCTTTCCTAGAGCCACGCACTGCAGACTCACAGCAGAGGCAGAGGGACGGCAGAGGCAGAGGCCGCACAATGCAGAAGCAGAGTGAATGAGAGAATGTGAAAAAACAAATATAAGCTGCGGGACGGGGTGGGTTTAGCCACTGGAAATTAATTTCTTCATTGTGGCTGTAATAATGATCCAAACGGATCCCAATTTGGTGATCTGATAGATATGGTCATTCCCTACGGAATGGCGTTTTCGTTTTAGTTTTCTTTTATCTTCAAAACTGCATGATTTCGCCCTTTTGCGGCAGGGAAGGGGGCGGGGATAATTTTTGAAATACACTGGTTTCAGTGTGAGCATACAGCAGTCCGGAGCCAAAATTTGGTGGCTATAGCTCTTATAGGCTGTGAGAACTAGCCGACACACAAGACGGACAGACGGACAGACGGACGGACGGACAGACAGACATGGCTCTATCGACTCGGCTATTGATGCTGATCAAGAATGTATATCCTTTATGGGGTCGAAAACGCTTCCTTCTGTGCGTTACATACAACAGTTATTCACACAAATACAATATACCCTATTTACTCTTCAGGTACCGGGTATAACAATGTATGACATATTCTTCGGTTCTTTATGTTGTATTAAACAAGCACAACGTTAAAAAACTAACTTATCTGTCTCCTTTACGATCAACATAAGATACTTCCGTTACATCTACTAAGGCTTAGAAAAACTCTAATGTGTATGAAAAAAATAATAAATAGGGGAAACAAATTCTTGGCGATATATGTATTTTCTACTGGGAGCTGTCACGCGGTGAGCTATAGCCGGATTCGTTACGGTAATTGGGAGTTCTAGTGAGGTGGGTACGCCACTAGTGTTTGTGCCACCGAGGACGGCCAAACTGTCATCCAGGTTAACCTCGCCCAGGGGAGAGACACGTCTCAGCTGCACAGCGCTCGGATTCTCCAGCGTGGACATTATAGGCGTCTGGTTAAGAAGTGCATTCGTTTCGTTGGTGCGAGCCGTGATGGGTGGTGTGAGGTGTGCAGCAGCTGGCGGTAGCACGTGTGAGACAAACACGACGCCATCGGACTCCTCGTCGCCAACGTCTATGAGGCCAGTGCCGGCAGAGCTTCGTGTCTCTATGTGTAGCAAAGCCACACTAGTGTTGGTGGCGTTTACATAATCGGTGTCGTTGACCACTTGGCAGTCAGCAAGTGCTTCGGCCAGCAGGTCCGTGCCGGGGACTGTAATTTCCGATGCTCTACAGACTTCCTCCTCGTCTAAGGTCAAAGAGTACCTGGCATGTTGAAATCCCCCATAACTATTAAATCGTCTTTATCAGATAGCGAGGAAGAAACAGTTTTAATGCGGACAAGTGCTGCTCGTATATTAAGACATCCAAAGTCGGTGGAATATACGACACAGAGGAATTCCAGGTCTTGTGATACCTGGACTATTAAAGGGCTCCGACGTGAAGTAAGAGTCCACTGCAATCGGAAGTGTCTGGGCACACTGCAAGCACGTGGGGAACATAACCTCTACGCCAGGTAAGTATTGGAGCAAAACTTTAACAAGTTACATATTTCGACGTGGCGATTTCCCCCTTGTAAAGGCGGGCGGCCAAATAATTCCCCTCTACCCAAGGGTAGAGCGGTAACTTAAAACCTAAAAAAAAAAAAAAAGATGAAGTTCTTATTCCAAGGATTCCGATNCAGTCAGCAAGTGCTTCGGCCAGCAGGTCCGTGCCGGGGACTGTCATTTCCGATGCTCTACAGACTTCCTCCTCGTCTAAGGTCAAAGAGTACCTGGCATGTTGAAATCCCCCATAACTATTAAATCGTCTTTATCAGATAGCGAGGAAGAAACAGTTTTAATGCGGACAAGTGCTGCTCGTATATTAAGACATCCAAAGTCGGTGGAATATACGACACAGAGGAATTCCAGGTCTTGTGATACCTGGACTATTAAAGGGCTCCGACGTGAAGTAAGAGTCCACTGCAATCGGAAGTGTCTGGGCACACTGCAAGCACGTGGGGAACATAACCTCTACGCCAGGTAAGTATTGGAGCAAAACTTTAACAAGTTACATATTTCGACGTGGCGATTTCCCCCTTGTAAAGGCGGGCGGCCAAATAATTCCCCTCTACCCAAGGGTAGAGCGGTAACTTAGAACTTAAAAAATAAAAAAAAAGATGAAGTTCTTATTCCAAGGATTCCGATGATCCCAACGGATATGCCCTTTGAGTTCAAACGAATTCAATTCCCGATTCGTCTTGCCTTCGCCATGACGATCAACAAATCACAGGGCCAATCCTTGACTATTTGTGGCCTCAATCTAGAAAATGAATGTTTTTCTCATGGTCAATTGTACGTGGCATGCTCACGTGTCGGCAAACCATCCGCTTTATTTGTTCTTGCGCCTGACCAAAAAACAAAGAATGTCGTTTACCACAAAGTGCTTGAATGAAAATCCTTTTACCATCGCATTGGATCATTGCAACCTATAGAAGATGCATCGCATAAATTCTTGCAATATGGGCAATATGGAAGAATAACTTGACAGGCGTCAAGGGATCAACACAGCTACGAAGAGAGCAATTCTCCAAGATCTACAGCAAATGCTTCATGAACATCATGCATTGGTCAGGCTGTTCAAGACTGCTTTAGAGCGCATGCCATACATTTGCAAAATTTGTCACGAAAGGGAGCGACATGGCGGTTTTTGGTATCCAAACATCCAATACCAACGATGAAATCACGCGCTATCAAGTTGGTACTTTTTTGTTTCTATCTATATAAACATATTATTTTGTATCATTGTTTTACGTTCATCAGAGCCTAAATTAGTTCAGCTAAAAAGTAACACGACATTCATTGACTGTTAGGCGGTGCGAAGTTCGCCGGGTCAGCTAGTATTAGATAAAATAAAATCATATATGCATAGCATTTGACATGAAACAATACCGTTAGCATGTATAAATTATCTTTGTGCATATCCATTTTTTTGGCCATGATGCTTCAATCTCTTGTTTGGTATCTGGAAAAAATGAAAACGACATATAAATAATAAATAAATTATTTAAAAACTGCCATCAGATCAGTTTGAATATTATTTCATAATAATTTTTAATGTAACTGTTAAAGAACTGTGCAACCCTGGCTTTGATTTGCCACCTGAAAATATGTTGAAAAGCGTGATCTAAACGAAAATAATTATATAAATAAATTAAAAACTGGCGACAAATATATGCAGTTATATATACTTAAACTTTTTTGTCCTTCTTCTGAAAATTTCTGCGCACCTACCTCACTATACGTTGAAGTTATGTTAATATGTACAAATGTATGTACATATGAATGTGCATGCAATATGTAAATAAATAAATATTTGTTTCTTTGATATTGAGTAGGTGCAGTCGAACTGAAAAAAAACGAGAAGGGACGTGTGAGACGCATCTTACGCGTCACAACTTTTATACCAGGCACTCAGTACTACATCTGTACCGTAGCGGGTTTTTTCAAATTTTTTACATTTACATGTTTTCTTCATCTGTCAAATACATCTTCAACACTTCTCACGCCAACACGCTCCTTTAGATCGCCCCCCTTTCCTAGAGCCACGCACTGCAGACTCACAGCAGAGGCAGAGGGACGGCAGAGCCAGAGGCCGCACAATGCAGAAGCAGAGTGAATGAGAGAATGTGAAAAAACAAATATAAGCTGCGGGACGGGGTGGGTTTAGCCACTGGAAATTAATTTCTTCATTGTGGCTGTAATAATGATCCAAACGGATCCCAATTTGGTGATCTGATAGATATGGTCATTCCCTACGGAATGGCGTTTTCGTTTTAGTTTTCTTTTATCTTCAAAACTGCAGGATTTCGCCCTTTTGCGTCAGGGAAGGGAGCGGGGATAATTTTTTAAATACACTGGTTTCAGTGTGAGCATACAGCAGTCCGGAGCCAAAATTTGGTGGCTCTAGCTCTTATAGTATCTGAGAACTAGCCGACAAACAAGACGGACGGACGGACAGACAGACATGGCTCCATTGACTCGGCTATTGATGCTGATCAAGAATATATATACTTTAGGGGTCGGGACCGCTTCCTTCTGTGCGTTACATACAACCGTTATTCAAACAAATACAATATACCCTATTTACTCTTCGAGAACCGGGTATAAAAACACGCATTAACCATGATACCCCTTACTTAGTTTGTATATACATACATATGTACATATGTATGTACTTATGTACAAATTAGCGCTATGAATTGAGAATCTTATACAATGAATTCCTGCACTTCAGGGGCTGAACTGCACGAGGAAGAGAGCAAAAGCGTGCTAGAGGAGGCAGCCGCCTCAAATTTTTCATTCAGTCTGGCAACAATAATAATTTAATTGGACTGTGTTTCTGCAAAATCAGTAGAAATATTCAATTATCATGATTCTGAATTTTTTACAAGAACTTGAGATGGCGAAGGGTTTTCCAAAGGTTCGTTGGGCGCCACGCATGTGGCGCTAACAAATGTTAGCAATTGTTTGGGCAACCAAACACTTCAGACCATACATTTTCGGTCAATTCAAACTGGTAACAGATCACAGACCCCTTACATGAGCCAAATTCAAAACTAGTTCGCTGGAAACATTTTTGAAACATTTTTGACTGAAACAGTGTCAGCATACAAAAGTCTGGATGGAAAATTTGGTGGCTCTAGCTTTTATGGTCTCTGAGTACTAGGCGCTCATCAGGACGGACAGATGGACAGACAGACATGGCTCTATCGACTCGGCTATTGATGCTGATCAAGGCATTGGCAAGGGGAGGGCAGAGGCAGAGGCCGAGTGAAGCAGAAGCAGAGTGTCAATGAGAGAATGTAAAAAGAACAACAAAAGCTGCGGGAAAGGGTGGGCTTAGCCACTCCAAATTAATTTCTTCATTCTGGCTATAATAATGATCCAATCGGGTCTCAATTTGGTGCTCTGATAGATATGGCCATTCCCTACGGAATTTCGTTTTTAGTTTTTTTCTTTTATCTTCAAAATTGTAGCTTTTGTAGGTTTTCGCCCTTTTGCGGGGGCGGAAGGGGGCGGGACTAATTTTTGAAATGCACTGGTTTCGGTGTGAGCAAACAGCAGTCCGGAGCCAACATTTGGTAACTTTAGCTCTTATAGGCTGTGAGAACTAGCCGACAAACAAGACGGACAGACGGACGGACGGACAGACAGACATGGCTCTATCGACTTGGCTATTGATGCTGATCAAGAATGTATATCCTTTATGGGGTCGAAAACGCTTCCTTCTGTGCGTTACATACAACAGTTATTCACACAATATACCCTATTTACTCTTCGAGTACCGGGTATAACAATGTATGACCTTTTCTTCGGTTCTTTATGTTGTATTAAACAAGCACAACGTTAAAAAACTAACTTATCTGTCTCCTTTACGATCAGCATAAGATACTTCCGTTACATCTACTAAGGCTTAGAAAAACTCTTATGTGTATGAAAAAAATAATCAATAGGGGAAACAAATTCTTGGCGATATATGTATTTTCTACTGAAAGGGAGCTAACTGCACAATTTCCGCTATGGGAGCTGTCACGCGGTGAGCTATAGCCGGATTCGTTACGGTAATTGGGAGTTCTAGTGAGGTGGGTACGCCACTAGTGTTTGTGGCACCGAGGACGGCCAAACTGTCATCCAGGTTAACCTCGCCCAGGGGAGAGACACGTCTCAGCTGCACAGCGCTCGGATTCTCCAGCGTGGACATTATAGGCGTCTGGTTAAGAAGTGCATTCGTTTCGTTGGTGCGAGCCGTGATGGGTGGTGTGAGGTGTGCAGCAGCTGGCGGTAGCACGTGTGAGACAAACACGACGCCATCGGACTCCTCGTCGCCAACGTCTATGAGGCCAGTGCCGGCAGAGCTTCGTGTCTCTATGTGTAGCAAAGCCACACTAGTGTTGGTGGCGTTTACATAATCGGTGTCGTTGACCACTTGGCAGTCAGCAAGTGCTTCGGCCAGCAGGTCCGTGCCGGGGACTGTAATTTCCGATGCTCTACAGACTTCCTCCTCGTCTAAGGTCAAAGAGTACCTGGCATGTTGAAATCCCCCAGAACTATTAAATCGTCTNGAAAAACTCTAATGTGTATGAAAAAAATAATCAATAGGGGAAACAAATTCTTGGCGATATATGTATTTTCTACTGAAAGGGAGCTAACTGCACAATTTCCGCTATGGGAGCTGTCACGCGGTGAGCTATAGCCGGATTCGTTACGGTAATTGGGAGTTCTAGTGAGGTGGGTACGCCACTAGTGTTTGTGGCACCGAGGACGGCCAAACTGTCATCCAGGTTAACCTCGCCCAGGGGAGAGACACGTCTCAGCTGCACAGCGCTCGGATTCTCCAGCGTGGACATTATAGGCGTCTGGTTAAGAAGTGCATTCGTTTCGTTGGTGCGAGCCGTGATGGGTGGTGTGAGGTGTGCAGCAGCTGGCGGTAGCACGTGTGAGACAAACACGACGCCATCGGACTCCTCGTCGCCAACGTCTATGAGGCCAGTGCCGGCAGAGCTTCGTGTCTCTATGTGTAGCAAAGCCACACTAGTGTTGGTGGCGTTTACATAATCGGTGTCGTTGACCACTTGGCAGTCAGCAAGTGCTTCGGCCAGCAGGTCCGTGCCGGGGACTGTCATTTCCGATGCTCTACAGACTTCCTCCTCGTCTAAGGTCAAAGAGTACCTGGCATGTTGAAATCCCCCAGAACTATTAAATCGTCTTTATCAGATAGCGAGGAAGAAACAGTTTTAATGCGGACAAGTGCTGCTCGTATATTAAGACATCCAAAGTCGGTGGAATATACGACACAGAGGAATTCCAGGTCTTGTGATACCTGGACTATAAAGGCTCCGACGTGAAGTAAGAGTCCACTGCAATCGGAAGTGTCTGGGCACACTGCAAGCACGTGGGGAACATAACCTCTACGCCAGGTAAGTATTGGAGCAAAACTTTAACAAGTTACATATTTCGACGTGGCGATTTCCCCCTTGTAAAGGCGGGCGGCCAAATAATTCCCCTCTACCCAAGGGTAGAGCAGTAACTTAAAACCTAAAAAAAAAAAAAAGAAGATGAAGTTCTTATTCCAAGGATTCCGATGATCCCAACGGATATGCCCTTTGAGTTCAAACGAATTCAATTCCCGATTCGTCTTGCCTTCGCCATGACGATCAACAAATCACAGGGCTAATCCTTGACTATTTGTGGCCTCAATCTAGAAAATTAATGTTTTTGCTCATGGTCAATTGTACGTGGCATGCTCACGTGTCGGCAAACCATCCGCTTTATTTGTTCTTGCGCCTGACCAAAAAACAAAGAATGTCGTTTACCACAAAGTGCTTGAATGAAAATCCTTTTACCATCGCATTGGATCATTGCAACCCATAGAAGATGCATCGCATAAATTCTTGCAATATGGGCAATATGGAAGAATAACTTGACAGGCGTCAAGGGATCAACACAGCTACGAAGAGAGCAATTCTCCAAGATCTACAGCAAATGCTTCATGAACATCATGCATTGGTCAGGCTGTTCAAGACTGCTTTAGAGCGCATGCCAAGTATTTGCAATTCGGTCAAGTCAATTAATATGTAAACGTTTTAAACAGTGCTTTCCCTCGCTGTACCGCCAAAAACCATAGGTTTGTAGGTTATGGTTGCTACTTTAGTGCGCGATAGTTCTACCATGAAAAAACAAAGATAGATATATTTGTATAATAAAACATAGTAACAAAATGTTAGTAGTTTCGGATTTAATCAAGTCGATTTTTCATTGTGCTGTAAGTAAGACTGTTAGGCGGTGCGAAGTTCGCCGGGTCAGCTAGTTTGTAATAAATAATACCGCAGAAATAACGATTACTTCACATCTACATACCACACTTGGGATATGTATACACCTACGCGTTAGTCAGATACGCGGTACCAGCACTCCGCTGCTTATGAAAATTTCGTGATTACCGAGATTCTAAGCATTCCGGCGCACCTGAAGCGACCCACAGCCAAAAGAATTTCTCCCAAATCCGGGATAAATTCATCCGACAAGAGGCACAGCTTGCCTCGCAGCCTTTTTGCATTTTTAACGCGCCAATTTTCTAATTGCCAGAAAAATAGAGGTGACAAACGCAAAAAACCTAATGGTGGCAAAAATAAAAATATCGCTCACGGGTCTCTTATCCATCCGAGCAGTTAATATTTTTGCGAAAATCGTTTTGTCCATCACCCACTACGACTAAATAAAATCCAATACCGATATATAAAAATATCGTAGTCTAGTGCGGATTCCGATTTCGTCTTTTGGTGCATTAAAACCACTGCCAATAAGAAAATATCCTTTTTCTTGAGGCATATCGTCCGATAGTTTTCTTATGCTTGACAGAGAAACAATTCTTGTTTTTCTACCTCTGGGGCGGTTTCCATCCCAGCCTCATCCGCACATGCCATCAACGCCGACCCCAGGTACTCCAAGGGCCTTCACGAGTGCCACGGCGACGAAAAAATCGGTTCTGTTTCCTTCGCCGATCACGCATAACGTGCTTTCACCTCAAAACCCGAAACTAGACGATTCTCGCCCCACACTTCCAATGGCACAGTCGACCGTCACCTCCGCACTGCTGAGTTTGAGACCTGTTCGGTGGCAATATTGTGCGAGTCCCCTGATGTCCAACAGGAAGTTCAGGACATGTATGGCGAATGCTATGAGGGTTACGAGCGGTGCGTAGCGGACCTCATTGCCCAAATTGACCGCCCAGCAGTCCGTCCTCCCGTGCCGCAAGCCTCCCAGGACGGCTGTCCCCCTGTGATATTGAAGTTTTCACAGGGGATTACGTCCGATGGCCTACATTCCGGGACTTATTCACCGAGGCTATCTCCAGTGGAGAAGCTGTACCACCTCTGCACTAAGACCCGTGGCGATCCGAAAGCCATAGTTGAAAAGTCCCCACTCACCAATGACGGTTTCGAGGCAGCATGGTCAGCCCTCCTTAGCCGATATGAAAATAATCGACTCATGGTGACGACCCAAATATATATCCTTTTATTGCTGCCTCGCGTGGGTTCCGAGACCAGTCGTGCCTTGAAAGGCCTTCAGAGCACCATTCAAGGGGTTCTAACCGCCCTGGCTCACTCCAAGGTCTGCACAGACAATTGGGAGAGTCTTCTTGTTACTATCTGTGCCTCCAAGCTGCCAAAACTGACCCGGGCTCTGTGGGAAGCGTCAGTAACTGACAAACAGGTAATGCCTTCATGGACGGAAATGGACTCCTTCCTCACACAGCGATACTTGACGCTAGAGGCCATGGAGAGCGACCGTTACCCGGCTAGGAGCGATCCGCACCCGAAACCGTCCCAAGGCCATCAAAATCCGAATCCCTCCGGAAGCCACGCCAAGGCAGTCCTCTTCCGAGGAATCTTCAATCTTTCCAGACCCACGTGAATCCGAAGAAGTGTGATCTCTGTTCCAAGGAAAATCACCCAATCCGACTCTGCCCGCAAATGGAAGTTGAAGCACGTTGTAACTGCATTAAGACGAAACAGTTGTGCTTAAACTGTTTTGCCCGAGGGCACCAGCTACGAGAGTGTACAAGCGCCCACAATTGCGTCACGTGTGGAGCCCGTCACCACACGCTGCTGCAGCGCGGTACTCCAGAATCCCGTGAGTCGTCCACATCCGTACCCAATTCGACAGCTTGGCCAGACCAATGCTTACCAGTACATACTTCACAGAATCCAGGTTTATCCGAACCTCAGTCTCATGTCCAGACATATTTTACGTCCATTCTCCGCTCCGCTCCGCAAATTACTAATGCTTCTTTGACTTCGTCATTTCGTCCTAGCCTTCCGCATGCATACATGGCGTCTCGGTCGCTCGCACCAATGCCGAGTCTGCTCTGAAATCCATCCGCTACGGAAGTGTCGCCGTTTTCTCCGCCTAAGGGCCGAGGAATGGCTCCGAGCTGTCCGGAACTTCAGCTAGTGCACCAATTGCCTGGCTCACCAGCACTCCGGAGAGGAATTCTGAAGCGGCGACCGGTGTAAGGTGTGTAACCGGAGCCAGCACACGTTGCTGCGCATGGACGGTGCGCAACTGCCGCCCTCTTCTCGACGTCCAGCCCCCGAACACTTCTAGTGCCATTTGCAGCTTCTTCGTCACAGGCCGAACACCGCCTTCGAGACCCAGGATCTCTTTTTGCAGTACTGCAAGGGGGGGAGGGGGTAGGATGTTGAAAGTAGCAGCAGTGAGTTAGCAGCGGGATGTTGTTAACAGCCGGAGCTCGCTCTCGCTCTCACTCCCTACGCTCTTGCGCTCTCCTTCTTGCCTGGCGCTCGCGAGCTGGCGGGCAGCCAGCCGCTAAGCTAAGCTCAGTATTCTACCCACCCCCGTACATTCCGGTACACGCGAGTTGATACTTTCGTCTTCTACATACACACATACATACATCCATCCATCCAAACCCATACAATTCTACACCCGCGCCGTTCGAATGCACAATAAACCGCCGATATATATATAATATCCCTATACTGTGTTGCCTATTTCATTTCGGGACCGAGGATTTATCTGTAGCGAAAGGAAGCCGCCCTCCTACAAACAACGCTCTTTTAGCTAGCCCCCATTCCCTAAAGCTGCACGCTACACTAAGCAGAGTGTGGATGAGAGAATGTGAAATAAATAAAAAAACTGCTGGATGGGGTGTGGGTAGCCACTGCAAATTAATTTCTTCATTCTGGCTTTAACATTGATTCAATCTGATCCCACTTCGATGATCTGATAGATATGGTTCTTTTCTACGGAATGGAATTTATATCTTTTATCTTTTTATACCCGGTACTCGAAGAATAAATAGGGTATATTGTATTTGTGCACAAAGTGAATGTATGTAACACACAGAAGGAAACGTTTCCGACCCCATAAAATATATCTATTCTTGATCAGCAACAATAGCCGAGTCGATTGAGCCATGTCTGTCTGTCCGTCCGTCCGTCTTGTTTCTCGGCTAGTTCTCAGAGAGCCTATAAGAGCTAGAGTTACCAAATGTTGGCTCCGGACTGATGTATGCTCACACTGAAACCAGTGCATTTCAAAAATTAGCCCCGCCCCCTTCCGCCCCCGCTAAAGGGCGAAAACCTACAAAAGCTACAATTTTGAAGATAAAAGAAAACTAAAATTCCGTAGGAAATGGCCATATCTACCAGATCACCAAATTGGGATCCGATTGGATGATTATTATGGCCAGAATGAAGAAATTAATTTGCAGTGGCTAAGCCCACCCTGTCCCGCAGCTTTTGTTGTTATTTTTACATTCTCTCATTCACACTCTGCTTCTACTTCACTCGGCCTCTGCCTCTGCCCTCCCCTTGCCGCTGCCTCTGCCGACTTTCAACCCACCCCGTCCCACAGCTTATATTTGTTTTTTTATTTTGTGTGCGGGCGCTGCATCTGCCTCTGCCGCAAGTCGGCAGTGTGTGGGTCTGGTGAAGGGCGGCGAGCTAACGGAGCGTGTTGGTGTGAGAAGTGTTGTAGATGTAGATGACAGTTGAAGAAAAAATTTAAAATTTGACAAAACACCGCTAAGGTGCAGATGTAGTACTGAGTGCCGGGTATAAAAGTTGTGACGCGTAAGAAGCGTCTCACACGTCCCTTC